CCAACAACAGCCAGAGTAACTTTTTATCAGTTGCGACAATGTCACAATATCAACAGCAAATTCTTTGAATATCAACTGGATGTTTATTAGGTCGTTTTTTGGTTATTTATAAATGAATCAGAATCAAGAATAACCATTTTTTTAAAGCCAACTCTTACGTCGAAACTTTTACGCCTCTCCGTTAGTAATAACGTTCGTAAGAAACTTTTTGCTTCCGGAACTTTCGACGCGAAAATTAAGCCAAAATTATTCACATTTCATGTTTTACTAATTTCAATCAAATTTTCCAGAATTTTTAAGTCAAATTTTTAATTCAGTCAAAATAAAGCCATTTCCAGTCAATATCTAGCTTAACTATGGTCTATTAGTCAAAATAAAGCACCACTTTGTGTGTTGTTATTCTAACTAATATTTCGACATTTATCGAAATTAGATTTTGTATGCTATTTACTCATTGATTGATTGATTCGCCTGAATTCATGTGAATATTGATAAAGTCTTCTTGCTTTGATTCAATTACTTATCGTTCAATTGGATCGGTATACAGGCATACGCATAAAAGATGCGCCCCATCTCCCTCTGTGGCATTCATTTCAAATTGTGTGTAATCTTTTTCGCGGCACAATTTACACAGCAAAAGAAACAGAGGAGGAAGAAGGAGAGTGAGAAGAAATGAAGCAAAAACAGGAAGAAAAAACTCCCAACAACCGAAATGAAAGAAAACAAGGAACAAAAATAGCATTAATTATCTGTTAAATAAAGTGGAATGAAATCACAGGCGAAACAGATTTTTCTTTCCCCGGCTGCTTTTTATTTCACTCTCTCTCTATCGCGCCACCATAATACAATTTATATGCAGCTCAATAGCTTGGGCTACGGTGCGTTACCGATTTTTAAAAGCAGAGTTTGTGGCGTGCCAATGAATTAAATTATAAAAAAGAATAAATTTGATCTTTATTCTGTCACCGTATTTATCTTTTGTACGGAATGAGAGCAGAAAAAAGAGCCCCAACCACACTTGAACAGCATGGCCAAACAGCATGGGAAAATGTGGGAGAAGAAAAAAAATGTTACCGAACAAACATGCTGATAGGGGTTGTAAACACGGAGTAAATAAAAATTGCATTCATGTTCATCGCGGAGCCAAACAATTTCACCCTTGCGGAAATGCTCAGCAAAGACGAAACAGAGACAACGAGATGCTGAAGGCAATCCCAGGAAACTGTCGAAAATAACGAACGAAGAAAAAAAAAAAACGAAACAAAACACAAAAATCACGCTTATCGCATAGACGAAACAATATTGACACCTTTTTTTTTTAATAAGAACACACCGTGCTATTCCAAAAGACACTCATACCGCATCATCACGTTTTTAATGGTTGACCAAAAACAAAGTAGCACAACGTTTTTTCGTCAATTTCGCGTACACCCAAACAAATGCCGAAATGAAATCGAGAACGGAGGGAGACAAACGGCATGACAAAAAAACAACAACAACGATGGAAACGAGGTAAACATACCATAGACGGTTAAAGGCATCCGTTTTGCGACGTCTTCTTTTACCCTTTTAACAAGCGGGAGTTGAGCATGAAGAAAAAACGACGAGGTACACACACAAAAAAAAATTGTTGACTTGCGATAAAGAAATAAACACATTGAACGTGACCGACTGTCGGATGTTTCATGATAATGAAGATGAGAGTGCTTAATGCTCATATTTTATTACGAATCAGTTCATACGTACGAAGATGCTGATGATAGACTAAAAGTCGGTGGAAATGCATTTTCTACGGACATTTTCCAGCACTTTTTTTTCAATCTCTTAAACAGACGTTGATATATCGAAACAAAATAAAGTTATTCAATTAACGTGATGATCATTTATTTAGATGATTTTACTGGTAAAATCTAAATTATAACTTTTTTTGAGTCCAAATCAAGATTACAACATCGATCGATGTAATTTTTGTTTGCAAGTCTACTGTACAAATTGGTTCGGATAAACTAACTTGATGAATATTCTTCAGTGACTTAAATTTGAAATGTGTTATGGAATTTTTGAAAGAAAAGCGCGATAGGTCGAATATGACCGTCGAAATTATTTTGAATGTTAAAAAACATGTTTCGTTGGACAGAGATGAATGAACTCTAACAAGATTTGTCGGACAAATGGATTTCACGTCTGATTCCAAAACAATGAGTCAAGTGAATAACACTCGCATTTTGCTCTTTGTACCGTACATTGAACCAATAAACCATTCGTTTACACACAAAGCGTTGACGCATACCAACAATTGATTCCCATTTGAAAAACAAATGACTGACTGACCGTAACTGAAATCAACCAAGAAGCGACTTAAGTTAACTGAGCAGATGATTTGTATGAAAAATAGTCGACTACGATTAAATTTCAGCCAGGCGCTTAATTTGGGACGTATTTGAATGCTACTTGTGTTTGCAGTCAACTGTGATCATTGTTTTTGTATTGAACGATCACTTTTAGCCAGTCGACTATGTCCCAAAATAATCGATTGGATCCTCAGTAAAAATATTTCCACACGGGATTGGTTTACAAAAATAGCCGATATTTTTGTCGGTTTTAAATATCTGCGCCGCCTTTTCGTCCGGTATCATTTCGTCATTGATACAAAAGATCGTGTGAATGACTGAAAAATCAATAAACTTTGATTGGTGCAAAAAACAACTTTCTCCAAAAGACTAAAGAAATAAAATCGAGAATTTGAACATTTTTTAGGAAACAATTATTTTTGCAACGCACAGATTTGTGGGCTTCTGTAAGCTTCATCGGCTCCTTTTTACTACATTATCAAGCTAATTATTATAGAAGAAAAAAAAAGAATCTTACGCTCGTTCACACCAATGGCATTTGCAAAAAAAAAAAATGATAAGGTCCTAAACAGATGATAATATTCAATCAAAAAAATATGAACAAATTAGGTGAAAATTAGTAAGTAGTTTTCTTTATCTCAGTCTGCCGACATAAGTCATGCGTAGTTGATAGTGGAAAGTTTTGAGTTGAAACAAACAAAGAGTATTTATGGAAAAGAACGTGTAAAGGCTTTATACCATTTGTGCTTTTTGCAATAATATGGAGCCGCCATGATTATTTACCAATCAAAAGTACTGAAATACAGTGTATTTGAGTACGTACCTTCTCCACTAATGCTTGAAAGCACAATGGTATAAAAATCTGCAAGAATTTACGCCTCGTTCTTTAAATGATGACGGCCAGTCAATGACAGTTAAATGTCGGAACGAACAGGATTCTTATGTACATACTTAGACAGTTTCAGTTGTGCACCGCTGCATACAGCTAGCTACATGCAACTAATTAGTTGCACTTAAGTGACTGTTAGCCATTTTATTTGCACACGGGATATTCTCATTAGTGCGATTCAATGCGTTGTATGTCATCGCCTACATCTTCATCCTACTTTCTAAATAGTATGAACATATATGATTGATTAGAGCATTGAATTACGAATGATTTGGTGGTAAATGCAGAAAATAATTTACCACTATCAACAAAAATTGACCGTAAATGATATTTTAAATAAATTTGACCGTAAATGATAAATTGTTAAATGCAACAGTATGTTCGAGGGTATTCACCCTGAATTTCAAGTAATTTCGCTTTTGTCAACTCTAAATTAATCATACATTTGCCGCCAAGTCTTATCAATCGAAAAATTTTGCAGCAAATTGATGTCGTTCATCCTGAAGGGGTATGAGCCGAGGTGCAAATCACTCTAAAGTAATTTGTAATCGAGAAAGTAATTTACGTGTAAAAATCTCGATTATTTTTCATTTTTTTAAAAAAAAGTAATCGAGATTTTTACACGTAAATTACTTTCTCGATTACTTTCTCTATTACAAATTACTTTAGAGTGATTTGCCCCTCTGTGTCATCAAATATGGTGGTATCTTCATAAATTGGCAGATAATCTTTTATTCTAAAATTGATTCATAATCCGCTGAAGTGGCGATATACTCGTCCAAGCTCCAACTTTTACGTTCACTGGCGTATTTTTTTCGTTGTCGTAATCTCAAACGTAAATCCGACTTATCATCGAATATTCTACGTTGGGTTTTGATTGAATTGGCAGCATTCGAAAAAAATTTACACATTTCAAGAGAGGAAAATTTTCGGATGACGCAAACCTTTCCGCTCAGTGAAATGTGAATTGATAGCAATAGAACAGGCCTCTTACCAAGAGACAGCGATTTTTTTTGCTTCTCGAAATCACTTGAGTTGACATCTGTGTTGCCCTGACTGGTTCCACTCTCAATTTAGAATTTATCAATACAAAAATACGCAAACGCTGTACGCGTAGGTCAATTAATTGACAAAACAGCAACGAACACTGCTCTGATTGATAGGCAGAGCGAAAGAGAGAAAAGAATAAACATATGCACTTGAATGATAGCGAATAAAAACCGGTCTTTTGCATATGGAGAGCGAAAAAATGCACTGATTCGGTTGAGAATAGAATTTATGTAAAGATCATAAACTGAATATTTATTTAAAATCGCCATTTTTTTTGCGCTTCCAAAAATCTGGGTTTGATATTGCGTTCACAATTTTGCATTCGAAAATGTTCGTTTTTTTTTTCGCTCAGCAATAATTTTCATTCCACTGAGTGGCATCCACTCAATGAAAATATCAATGACTTCTTTTCATTCAAAAGCATTCAGAATGATTTTTGTTGTTCGTGTGCCATCAATCAACGAGACGAGAGATAAATGCAAAACAATCGTTGAAATGAAATAGAAATAGTAGTCTAGAAGAAATAAACTTTAATTTGAATGAATTATTTATCAGTGGAAAATGTGATTGGTCTGGCCATATTGTGACGTTCGACCACGTGTTGCTTCCCCATTGTGATAAGAATAATACAAAATGTGTACTTCTATGTGTGTGTGTGCCTCGATGCAGTACACTCGATGCGAGTATAAATAGAACGTTTGTGCGCCGCATTCTCTACAGAAGTAATAATTAGTTTGTGAAACAGTTTGTGGTGTGTGATAAAAGAAATTGTAACAAGATGGCTTTGCGTTGGGGTATTTCTTGTGCTGGTTTGATTGCGAACGATTTTGTGAACGCGTTGCAAACATTGAATCCAGAAGATCATGAAATTGTTGCCGTTGGTTGTCACGATATCAATGAATCCAACAAATTGTGCACCAAATTCGAAATTCCAGTCGCTCATGGCTCGTATTTGGAATTGGCAAAGGATCCAAATGTGGAAATTGCATACGTTGGCACATTGAATCCATGGCATTACGAAGTATCCAAATTAATGTTGGAGCATGGTAAGCATGTGCTGTGCGAAAAACCATTGTGTATGAACTCGAAAGAAGCCGAAAAATTGATTGAACTTGCCAAAGAGAAGGGCGTTTTCTTCATGGAAGGCATTTGGGTACGATTCTTCCCAGCCTATCAACACGTTCGCAAAGAAATCCGCAGCGGTGTACTTGGTGACATTTTGTCGGTTAAGTCGGAATTTGGAATTAAGGATCTGGTTAAAGTCGGTCGGCTGTCGTAAGTAACATTTGGAATTTTATTGAAGTTTAAAGAACATTCGTAGTTTTATATCAGTTAGAAACACTCTACACTAGTGCCATAGAAACAAAGTGTGCTAATGGTTGAAGTGATACGGCTTTGTTTATTAATCGATGCGTAGATTCAATACGATCCATACATGTGAAGAATCTTCACTGAAGATCAAGATGATTGACCATCGTTTTCATTGTTATAGTGACTGCTTTTTTACATAAAACTCTTTCGTTCTCGTGTAGAAAAAAAGCGATGGGCGGTGGAACCATTTTGGATATGGGAGTTTACACAATTCAAGCCTGTCAATGGGTGTTGGAAAAGAATCCAGTATCAATCAAAGCCAAAGGTAGCCTCAACGAAGAAGGTGTTGATGTGGAGATGTCAGCCGAACTTGATTACGGTGATGGCAAAAAGGTGGAAATCAACACGAGCGCTTTGGACCAACTCAGCAACTCAGTGAAAATTATTGGAACTAAAGGCGAAATTACGGTATATTTTATTCCATTTTGAAGAATATGTCAGGTTTAATTCGAATAATTTTCATATTTGAAAGAAAATGTTCGATTCGAACCTGAACAATTTTTGAATTGAAAAATGTTCGGCTTGAAACATTTTACCATTCGGATTTTTTTTTCTTTCTTTCGTTTGATATTCAAACGCATTTTCAATCGAAACAAATTCACATTTTTTATTAATTGATCTTCAATTCAATTCCCATTTGTATTCCAATTTCATTCTCATAATTTCATTTTTCAGATTAACGAAATCTTCTGCTCAACAAGAATTATCGATATTGATGGAAAAGAGAAGCATTGGCCATTGCCACCAGCTAAATTTGATTTCCATTACCCAAACAGCTGTGGCCTGAGATACGAAGCCGACGAAATCCGCAAAGCCATTCGTGCCGGTAAAAAGGAGCACGAAAATGTACCACACGCCGACAGTTTGGGAATTGCTCGCGTTCAAGATGAACTCCGACGACAACTCGGTGTCCACTACGAAGGACACGATGATTAATTTATTTAGTTCTTGTTACAATTTTATATATTAGGCTGTTTAGAAATTCACCGATTTTAAATCAACATAGCTCATTTTATTCGTTACACGTTGTATAACATTTCATAGAAGAAACTTTTTTGAAAAAATTGATTCTCCGATTCTTCTTAAACACGATTAAGAATCGGCATATTTTGCGTAACGTTTCAGAAAAATGCGCCGTTTTCAAATCGATACGTTTTTCTGAATTGTCAAACAATGAACATAAATGACAAAAATTTCCATTTTAGTTTTATGACCACAAACCGTTTCACTGCTGAAAAATAGTGAATATTGTCAAAATTTATATTAATTCTAGAAAATAGATCACATTTCTTGTCAAACTTTGTCAACATTTTTAAAACATAAAATATTTTTGTATTTGTAGTAATGAGAATTTTGTTTATGAAATTCGATTCAACTTTGCCATTTCAGCCGATATGTTTCACTATAATGCGAAAGAAACCCGAAATCTCAGAATTCTGCGTCAAATTATTGCCCACTCTTGCGTATTGTTGACAAACGGAACGAAACATGAAAATGATAAGGTTGTGATACTATTGATTTGATAACAACAGTGGAATGCTTCGTACGCTGATACATGTATTTGGTTGGAACTCGATTGGCCGAAGCGCCATCCAAAGAACCGATGATGAGTTCGTTAGGTCTGTATGTTATACTTCTGTATAACGTTTGACAGAACGGAGAGTTTACTTGATTGTATCGTCATTAGCCTTAGATTATCTAGGTGGTTTTTGCGCTCAATATCAGTTGTCAAATTCAAAGTGAATAGGAGAGTTGTTTGATAATGACGCTTTTTGATGGCGATATGTCTGCTTTAGCTCGCAGATAATGCCTAGTATAACAAATTATTCGAAATTGTTGTTGGTTCAATGACGATGAGTCAGCCTTTCTGATCATGAAAATAGTAAACAATACAGCGGCACCTGGGGACTAAGTGCAATGTGTCATACTTTCAACGTTTGAACTAACACAGACGCATACTTGTTACAGCAAACTATGTGCATGATTCTCTATTTCTCCAACCAGTCGCCAGGTGCCGCTTTATTGTTCTTGTTTGATGTTTCCTATCTATTTGTACAGACGATCAGAGAGGCTGCGATGAGTAATAACCACAATTTGGCTGTATTGTAATCTCTGTGCAAAAAAACATATTCACTAGCCTCATACAGCTAGTACAATATTCTATAGTCAGGCTATACAGCTTGTAACTAGGTGAGAGTATTTTGAGCCATTTTTTGGAGGCTCGTTGAGATCAACTCATTGTGCGGCATTTTGATTGCTGTAGCTAAATTTTCCCCTTTTTTTTTCTTTCGTCACGAACTATATTTAGAATCTCAATCGACCTCAATCGAATTCAATCAAATTTCAAGTTGATGAGTTTAGCAAGACAAACTTACTTAGACTTAGAAACAAAGCAAAAAAGCTGTAACTGTTTGATGAATATGAATTGTCAATCGTGCAGATGCTACATAAAGTGTCCACAAATTGGTCGCATAATTCACATTCTATTCTCAGAATTGTGTTTAAATGACTGAAATCAATAGTTGATAAAAAGCTTACAAGGTCGATCTATTTTGATACGTATAGTATCGCGTAGTATTATTTCCATTTTTGTACAAAGATCTAGTTAAATTTTATATTGAGTCGAATAAAATTTTGGGGAGGGGGAAGTCGTACAATGCGACCGATTTAAGTGAACGACTGCCCCAGAATTACATGCTTGGTTACCCCAATGCAAATTTTTCGACCAACATTCAATTCGATTATTTTCCGATGAAATTTTTTTTTATTGACCGAGCTCCGTATAAAGTTGGGTGTAAATCATTTGTAGTTGATTGAAATCGAGTCAATAGATAAAGATAAGGATAAAAAAAACGTAGATTGACTGTAGCTTATCAGCCGCCCAATTTGGGACTATCTTCATCAAACAAAATCAGAACTTTTACTGTATTCGCTGTACAAAACTTCATTTAACGTTAAATAAAAATAAACGAAAATCCAATCAACTACAATTAACGAAATGCACAGTGTTAGTCAGGCGACAGTGATGGAATTTTTTTTTTTGCACGCGGGTCGTTATTTTTCATCAAAAACCGTCAATACGTACGTTGGTTTACTAACGTCAATGTGTGATTCTAATCTAAATGATACGAAATGAATGCAGTGAGCGAATTCAAGCAAAAAAGTGTTGACCTATGTCGCTATGACGCTAACAGACGCGCTGATTACGAATCGAATTCAAATTGAGGACATTTATCGCTCGATGCGAATACGGTAAAACTTTTGCTTTTGAATTAAGACGCAAATCAGAAACTGTGATATCTAAAATACGGCAAATTGAACAACTCAACTATAAATCAAATGCACAATATGTTATAAAAGATATGCGTGTCTAATTTTCTATCTCCAAAAATATAAACACAACGAAATGTGTTAATTTTCCCTAAGAATCAGAGTTCAATTTAGCTTAGGTAAATGACCGAAACAGAAATTATGCGATTTAATTTCTACATGATATGAATCTATCCGTTTTTCTCTACAATACCAATCGAATAATCAACTAGCAATTGATAGAAAATATTTGTAACTTGTAAACCGCACGCTTCCATTCGAATGATATTGGGCATAAGTAAATTTGTGAGTAAATCGTTCGTGAGATTGAGATCAGATCGGAACAAATCAAGTGCCAATATTCCCAAGTGTTTATTCTATTTCAAGTAAGTACAGTCAACAACCAGAGATTGTTCGTTATCAAAAGTTTCAATTTTAGCCGAAAACAACATAAAATCCAATATCAAGTTTGAATGGCGACAAAGAAAGTCGCAGTGAGCTTTGTGTATTGACTGCCATCTAGCGAAAAGCGATTGCGGCAAATGCAGCTTTTGAAAAATGATAATGCAAATCGTTCAGTTGAACGTTTAATCGCTACCATTCGTCCAATGAGCTTACTTCCCCGTTATTTTTCAATTGTCAATTGAGTTTTCTAATCTGGAGCTGTGTGAAAGAGGCAAACATATAGAGATATCAAGAAAAAACATGATATTTTTCCATGCCAAGTTTTTTTTTTATGATGAAAAACAAAAATTAGGCTGAATAATATCCTTAGGCGAGCCCATGGCTCATAGGCCATCATTATTCTTACAAATTAAAAGCAATATCTATTATTAAGCAAGCATTTAAATAGGGCGTGTATCAGTTTGTCTAAATGCATCGTTCGTTTTGCTTTGTTAAAATTTCGATTCAGTCGGGACAAGGAATCATCTATCAGCGGATCATTTCAACACAATGCGGATATCTTTTTTGCTCAGAATGAGTCGTAAAAACATTATATTGCGAAATTAATATATAATATCAATACGTAAGGTAAATAAGTAAAAAGTTATGGAAAATGATAGAAAAAAACGTAAATCAGCAATAAAAAGTAATTATACTCCACTATTTCCATTAATATAAGTTACGAAAAAATGTCAAAGCAAACAAGACGAAACATACCCTTGGTTGTTATGTATCAATGGAGACGAACAAATGAATTTTCACTACAGATGTCTCTAAATAAAATGAAAAAGTCATTGACTTTGGAAGGAAAAGTGGAGCGCTTTGGCTCAAAAATGCCTACTTTTTATTCCGAAATGTTCATTTCAAAAACGCACTATGTCGGAAGATATGCGATAGTTGACGTCGAACTATTCAGTGAACGATTCCCAGGCGTGTTCGGATTCTATCAAATTGGGATAAAAAGTCTCTGAAACTGCTTTAGACGAAAAATTCATTGGCTTTGAGAGAAAATGTGGAGGCTTTGGCTCAAAAAGACCTACTTGATCGCGATGCTTCTTCAAGATGTTCATGCATATTAAACTCATAATCACCGCCGAATCGCTGTCAAGTTGTGCTCAGAATTTGGTCGAAGAAGAAGAGAATTTTTGAATCCAAAAACATTGCTTAGTATTTTTTTCATAGCTTAACGACATCTGTGATTTTCGATATTCAAACCGTCTCTATATTCTCAGGAGTCAACTTTACCGTTAATAAATAAGAATTTTAATAAAAATCTATGGACGTAAGCAGTGAATGTCAGGGGAAGTTAAGCACCAACCTTCTTTTGAAAAATATGTTGTTTCCTTATGTTTTCTTTGAAGAACAATTTCTTTATAGAAATTATTTGAAACTTCACCTCCCTGCATTTAGTGATTTAAATTACAAAACAGCTACATCTCAGAGTGAAGCTATCAAATACCGTATTTGATTCAAATAGTCTCTACTTGCATAAAATAGCCGAACAAATTATTTCTAAGTATTTTTTTTTTCAGACAGAATTGGTATTTTACAATTATTTGCAAAATAAATAACTCATTTTAGTTTATATTTTAGATAATTTAATAAACATTCAGCCCAGTCAATACTCAATACAACACGACTTTTTGTTTGTTTTGGGTGAGAGTTAACCCATTAATTGCCAGGATTCTTATTTTGTTTTCAAATTGCCTAGGGGTATATGACTCTCGCGAATGCTGCAAATACTGCGAATGCCACGTACTAAAATACGAATGGCTATGAATGCTGCGAATGCCAAGTATTGAAATACGAATGGCTGCGAGTGCTGCGAATGCCACGCACTTAATACGAATACCTTGCGAATGCGTCGTATCAAATACGAATGGCTACGAATGCTTGTGATTGATTTGCTTACAAATGTTAATTTATATTTTTTTTCGGTTAAAAATGGAAATTTATAATAATGTTTGTTTTGTTTATGTGTGATTTTTTTTTAAATGATTAAGTTTTTCAGGCATCAAATAATGTTTTTCTTGGGTGGTAATACTTGGCCTACTATTTTTCGCAGTTTTCCCGTAGAACGATTTTTGTTTGACATGTTTCAGCGTTGAATTGACAGCTGACACTGGCATTCGTGTAGATTCATGCATTCGCAACGCTCCCATATAAAATGTATGTAAACATTCGCACCGCATTCGCAGCGCATTCGCGTGATACTCGCATTCGAATATTTACGAATGCCACTGCGAATGCTTCCATACATTTTATATGGGAGCGTTGCGAATGCTTGCTTTAAAATACGAATAAAGTCATTTTTTTCCGAAACGTAGAACGTTTTCGAATACTCATTAGCCCCTAGCAAATTGCGTGATACTTTCAAATATTATCAATTTTGGTTGAAAAAATAACAGTAGACTTCGCAAATCGTGAGATATGAGTCCCATTTATATTTAACAGCGATAGAAAAATTGAAAATTCAGTACAAATTTGTAGAAATTCTTAGGGGATTTTTTTTCTCCAAAATTTCTGGTTTCATTCGATGATCGATCCGACCAATTTGAAACGTTTTTATTGATTTTGTAATAATCTCATTGGGAAGTATGAATTTCAAACTTTATTTTAGAAAAAAAAAATTAATCGAATTCCCCATCTGGTGTGGAAGATAGATCCTGAGAAAAATATCACTTCGAAAAATCGACCACTGGTAGTTAATGGGTTAATGTTAAGTTAAATTTAGTCTCTGCCGATTTTGTGAGTAACAACAGGTTGATCGATGCGAATGATGCGACTGCCAACATTGAAGTATGCTTCGTACTCGACCGTTTCAGGTGTGGTATCGTAATGATAGTGACCACCCCAGTTGCTCTTTGAGAAACTATGAAAGTGTTGCAAACGCAGATCCAAATCCATTTCATCGGTTACAAATGTGCCAACAGCAATTAGAATACCAGGCATATTATAAAATTTCAGCCAATTGTTCACGTCTTCGTCGTTATTTAATGGTGTTGAACTGAAGTCACGCATCACGTGCTGATGTGCACTGCCATTTTTCAATATAAACACACCGCCCATACCTGATAATATTAAAATTGGGCTTTAATAACACTATATTCAAATGAAAAAAGATTTTAGTTCAATTATTTTTTTATTTTTTTTGATATCATACCAACGTGCTTTTCGCCAAATGCTGCGTACACCGCGTTCCGACAGGCAGTGATGAAATTATCCTCACCTAAACGTTTTTTGCATTTCACGTGAATCACCTAAAGATTTAGCAAAATTACCTCGGTGTATTTTCGAATACAATTCACATACGTAGGTTACAATACGAGTTTTAACAACAAACCTTTCCTTTCTGTCCCTCTGATACGTACAAATTTGCCATGAGTGCGAATTTTGTTTCATCGTGCGGAACTTTCATAGTAGCACACGACTCATCACCAGGTGTAACACGAGCAATATGTGTCTCATTTACAAAAGATCCATCTTCATTGATTTTTAAATTGAAAATACCCTAAAAGACCACAAAAATTACCATGACGATTACGACGAGATGTGAGAAAATGAAATTCACATACTTTCTTTTTATTTATTCAAAAAAAAAAAGAATGAGATTATTTTGAGTCGGATAGCTTTGCAACATACCTCACAATTTGAGCTAATTAATGGATGAGGTCCAGCACCGGCTCCACATAAATAAACAGTGGGTGCATTTGGCAACACTTTTCGTGCTATGTTAACTAAATCGTAAATTTTCGTGCGGTCAACCGTTGGTGCTATTTAATTAATTATAAGTAAAGGAATCAATTCAAGTGAAAAAGAAATTAGCGAATTATCACCGGAAGCAGAATTCACTGGAAGAAATTAAAGGTGTTAAATCTGTCCACACAACAAGTATTATTACCTAAAAATGGTGGACCGCCCACATCAACGATTGTTTGCGATCCACTCAAGCCACTCGATGCCAAATAAAATGGGGCTGCAGTTAAATCTGGACAATCCTGAATTTCGACCAACACTTCGGCGAAATTTTTGTTCAGTCCCGCAGAAAGTGCTATTTTATTATTCACATATAAAATTATGAAATTGAAGAGAAAGAAGATTTCATTAAATTCTGTTGAGAATTTCAATTTGTTGTAGATTAACTTAGCACTTACCTGTTTTTAATTCACTCAAACTTGGGACATGAAGTGATTTTTCTGCCCATGGTAACTGTTCTACGTTAAGCGCGGCCATATCGTTTGAAAATGTTCAATAAAAGTAAATATAGCTCCCTCAAAAAATATTTTAACTGACTTGAATGTTTGTAACGACGACAATTTCTCTGACGAATCCCAGAAAATTTGATGAAATTTATAGCACAGAGTAGGCTTAGTTCAGTGATAATATAATTTTTTCCGCAGATAATAGCTGAAAAATTATGTAATTTTTACCACACAGAAAATTCATTCTATGGTCGTTATCAGATTGTTAATCTGAACAGAGAAAACAAATGTATATGTACTGTACCATGCTAGGGGCATTTCTCACACAAAAAATTTGAGCAAATGTGCAAAAATGTCTATTATTTCTTCTTTTTTATTGAATTTGTAAGAAAATGTACTGAAATGACGATATTGCTTGAATAAAAGTGTTCTGGAAGTAGGTTTCAGTGGATCTCAAGGATCGTTCGGAACTGCTCCCGATTCTGGAAGTGGGTTTTGGTGGATCCTCAGGATGGACCAGATCCGGTTTGACAATGCCCTGGCCCATCCTGAAGATCCACTTCCAGAACCGGGAGCAGTTCTGAACGATCCTTGAGATCCACCAAAACCCACTTCCAGAACACAAGTTCAGTGTAAATGAACATTTATTTACACGAATTGATAATAATTGATCGAATCGGACCGAATGGAAGAAATTTTTCAAAATTTATAAGAATTCATTCATTCTTTTCGTGAGAAATGCCCCTAGGTACCATGTACGTGTACATGATTGATTAATAATGAATCCACTGTTTTTTTTAATAGAACACGCTTACATAGATACACTTAACACACACTGTGTTCCATGGGGAAAAACACGATTTCAAGTTCTTATTTTCTTCAATATATTATTCACTGTTTCTTTTGTTTCTACTAATAATATATTGCTAATATCCGTATAATATATATTGCCCCATGCATTTGAAATTCAGATTTTTATTTTCTTTCGATCTACTATTTTTTTCATTTTTTCTGCTATTTTTCAAAACAAAACTGCTAATTTGCCACCAATAGCTGGTGTGTCTATCCCCATGCTGTGCACACACTAGAAGTGATAACAACTATAGACAGTGATAGCTACAAAATATAAACAAATTATTCAACCTCATTTTGGAAAGTGATAAAGTGATAGAGAGATAGCGGTTGAGCAGCATACAAAGTGATAACCAGTTCCCACAAATACAAAACAAAATAGACAAAATCTATGGGTAACTATAGTCAACTGTTCTGTATCAATACTTGGCCAAAAACGAATTTGAACGACGTACATTTTCGTTTATTGACCATAAACTGTTTTATCGCTTAAAAAAGTGAATATTGTCGAAATTTATAATAAATACGAACGAATCACTTTTAGAAAATAAATTGCATGTCACATCAAACAGATAAAACCTTTTC